GGGCTAGGGGTGGAGATGTGGAGGAGAAGGGATACGGAAGTACAAAGAACTGAAGGGACTTGTCAGGTGGAGCCATTTAATGCCCATGCCCAGCCCAACATGTTCAATCTTGGGGTGAATGTGCTCTTAATTAGAGGGTGGTTTTCCATAAGGAGGTTTCAATGGTTACTGTACAACCACATGGTCATGCATGTGGCTTTGTGTAAACACCACTGCAACATACCTCTCCCCATGAGACCTCTAGTATTGCCATGATGACGTATGGACTCCAAACGTGCCAGCAAACCCCTATAAAAAAACCCTAAGAAATAGGATTGAACTAACAGGAACTCCAGGCTGAATGAAGCTGTTTGCAGCACAACCTGCCCATCCAGAACTGCTCTGTTTTGGCTTTTCCTCTCCAAATACAACCCCTCATTGTATGTGCCCTCCCGACTGCTATTGACAAAGGAGATCACTAAAGATAGGTCTAGGGATCATATTCAGTCTTAAATGTCACATGTTTCTAGGACTTCAAGATTTCCAGTGGCCCTGCTAAGGGTTATCTTTCTTGTGGGATATTTTTGGGGTTTAGTTTTTGACATTTCCCGTTAAATTCCTTTTCCAGAAGGATTTTTCAGAAACAAGTTGCCCTGCTTGATCTGAAAACAGCAAGTGGGAAGAAGACACCAGTGCTCTGTATGTCTAAACAGCCATCTCTCCTCCTTTTTTGGAGAGCAGACTGGATAATCTTTGGATGATCCAATGGATTTCTTGAGGGAAGCAATGACAAGGATAATAAATGTATCCCTGTGTCAAGACAGACTTGGACATTTATTCTAAACAATCGCTGCAGCAGCTTCTGGCAGAGACCTGGGTATAAACAGGAAAAATGAGATCTTGGCCCATCTGAAAAGCATCACTGGCTTTAATGCTCAAAATGAAGAGGGGAAAAAAAATCCTTCTGGGTAATGGATTAGTTTCTTTTTCTGTATGTTTTTTCCCCCCTTCTCTCCAGTAATGCCAACTGCTTCCAAAAGTGGGATCACTGGTTGTGATGTGATTCCTTTAGCAAACACTGATGAAACCCTTTGTTTGCTCTGGGCTCTCCCTTTTCCATGCCTTCCCCACGAAGAGGTTTCACAGAGGTGATTCCCAGGGTGGGGAAAAAGAGACTTTCAATGATGAAAGTAAAACAGTGCCCTCTCCTGTCCCTGCTCACCGCTGCCACTTGCACCTGAGCAGCACTGGTTGTGCACCAAAATTGGAGGATTACAGATGGGAATGGAAAATATTCCACCCAAAGGTGTGGGCTATAGAGAGGAGTATGTGTCATACTGGCTTTTGAGGGATAAAAATGCTCCACTTAGAGTGGGCTGGAACAGTACAGCTCCTTCACTCACATCTCTTTTGCACATGATTTATGATAGGTACAACCTGAGGTTTAGTGCTGTTGGGAATGACGGGACCATTGCTGATGGTGGTAGCTGGTGTCATCTCGGCCCTGGGAAGGGGGTGGACACTTGGGCACATTTTTCCTGCAGGAAATTGGATATTTCCATGGCTATTGCATGAAAAATGAGCTCCTATTAAACCCACCAGCAAAAGACCCCAAAAATCACGGCAAAGTAAATAAACAAATGAATACAAACAAAATAACCTAAGAAGGTGTTTTAAATATAAGCCTTCATTTTTCAAGACTGTTCTAAACAAGAAGACAGGAACAGAAGTGGATTTGATGGGTGAAGTTATTGTAACATGACAACTAATGTTTAAAAGGCATATTTCAAGGCCGTGATTCCCAAAGATTACAGCTATGAAACAGAGCTTTCTTGCTAACTGATGGAGTGCTTCCTTCCAGATAGAACAATTTACCTGATATCTGAGGTAAATAAAATCTACCCATTGATCATATTTCCTAAGTACAGCACATTAACAAGAAGGTACAGGCATCATGCATGTAGCTATACAGGATCCTGGGCAGCAGAACACACATCCTATGCTCATCTTAGGGACGAGCAGGGCAATGCACTTCCATGCTCTGCAACTGCTTAAGTAAAATAAATCTACTCTGGACTGGATTGGAACAGAAATACTTTTGCTAGCATCAACAGGTCCTAAAGGAATCACACCTAACCTATTATTTTGGCAGCAGCCAGAAGAAAAGGACCATAGAGCCAGCTCAGCAAGCTCAGGCTTTTGAGCAGCAGATGGTTCTGAGAAAAAAAGGAACAGTCTCTTCTCCTTGCTTTGTATAAATCGTGCTGCTCCCCACGCTATCATTCAGTGGAGCAGTGGCCACAAAGTCTATTTCCTTTATTCCCATTGTTTTCATGCTTTTTTTACTCAATGAGGTACCAGATCAGCCCCAGGGAGTAACTGCACCTTACACTGATACAGATCTGGCAATATTCAGGAGATACAGAGCTACTCACACTATGCTTTTCCTTGGAACAAACTGTTCAGTGTTCCATCTACTTCCTACTAATCTATATCCCTAAGCCCTTAGTGGTCCTTGAAGAGCTCCACCTGTAGCACCACCTCTCATACCTGTTGGATAAGCGCCACTAAAACTCCAACAACAATTGCATTGCTATGTCACATGTATATAAAACAAGGTGTTTGAAATACGTAATCTGATGCAGGAAATAACAAAAGAGAAAGAAAACAAATCAATCATGTAGATGATTTTCTCTAAGAAACAAAAAACTCAGACTGCAAACAAATTTTGGCAGCTCAATAATTAAAGCAAAGTCCATATGGCTTAAGAGAACAGTCAAAGTGCACAGAAGGCAGTGGGGGTTTTGCTTGCTTTGCGTTCCTCTTCACAGTAAGCTCAAAGTCATCCTCTTTAGAGCCCCTTCTCCATCCCACACACATCCTATCCAGGTGCAGAGAGGGGGATGGCTCACAGGGTTTTGGCTTAAGCCCATGTCTTTGTATATCCCTTGCCATCTAAGGAGCTGTGTGGGGATCATTATCCCAAACTCAAAAGCCCTTAAACACACCCACTGGAGTTTTTGGTTTTGAACTTTTTCTTTCTGGAGCCTTTGGAGAGGAACAGCAATCCAGTGCCAAAGCTATCCAGAATCTGTATGCACCAAGAGCAGCAGTGCTCAGAGGCAGTGCCAAGGAGGAAAAGCAGTTCTGAGATCATCTGCCCTGTCCAAGAGGCACTGAAAGGTGACAGCAAGGCTGAGCTTGCCCTTGGACCTCAACTGTTCGGGTGAGATGCCACCAGGCTACTTCTAACCAGCCCCTGAGGGCAGGAACAGGCAGCACTGTAATAATCAACACCAGGTTGGTTTCAACAACCTGCCTTGAAGACACCAGCACCCAGTGCCACAGCTGTCCCACATCCCTCCAGAGAGGCCAGGAACAATTTTCAATAGCAGCAGTGCCCACATGTCCCCTGATGGGATGTCAGGAAGCAGCAGGATACCAATTGTCCTGGCTGACCTACATCCACCTGGGAGGAAATGCCAGATGCTGGAGTAGCAAGGACATGCCTACTTCCAAATTCACCTTTCAAACTCTAGTGGTTAAAAAGTCTGGTGATCCAGAGCTCTCACTGGGTCCAAGGGCTGGACTTGGATTCTTTAAACTCCTGACAACTTCCTTGCAAATAAACAACTTGCTGCAAAATGTGACAGACTCAGGAAAAGGATAGAAAAGAAGAAAACAAAAAGTGACTTACACAAAAGGATGGAAAATAAACTAAAAATCCTCTCTCTTCTTTCCAAAGGCTATAGCTTCAAGGGCACAAAGCAGACTGTAAACGTGTACAAGGTAATTCATGACCCTAACGCTTGCAGAACCTGGTTAGCTGTATTTGGAGACACTTCTCCCAGATACAAAGCTGAAGAATCAATAAAAGGCACCTTTGGACACCAGAACTCACCCAGTCTGTGTGATGTGCCTTTGCACACGAAAATAAATCAAACAAACCCAGCTACTGTGTACTGGTTTACACACCAGTAAGCAGCATTGCAGAGTCTGCGTGAGAAAGGATGTTCAACTTCTATTGATAGGGCAGGATAACTTTGATGATCAGAAACCTCATCAGTTGGTAGACTCACTAGCTTGTTAGTGCAATCTTAATTGAGAGATTCCCTGGCTTCCTGGGTTGTGTCCACTGACTTCTTAAAAGTGACCAATTTCAATGGCACATGCAGTCCATGAGGGAGGATCAGAGCCACACCAAAAATAAAGTGACCTTGCATCTGAATTCTTCCCACTTCCTTCACCCGCCACTGCCTACAGTGCTCTTTTGAGCCGTCTCCTCTTCCAAAGGCCCCGGAGTTGGATATTTAAAGAATGCAGCAGGTCCCATTTGAACAAGAAAGAAAAGCAGGTCAGTAATTCAGTATAAATACACTGGCAGTGAGCCTAGAGCACACAGTGACGCATCTGAGCCTAAGTTGATCAGCCAGTGCTCCTAATGCAGGGAGCAGCAATGAGGAGAGAGGAGGTGTCTGCTTTTCATGGAAGAATTTGTCCCTTATCTATGTTTTCCTACTTGGCTTTGATGACAGGGAAAAATTAAAAAGAAATAAAAGTAGAGGGAAAAAAAAGAAAAAGGAGCCTGGGAGGTTTTATGTTTTCTCTTCAAATCACATCACAAAGTCACTCATTGCATCTAGGGAATTCATCTCCTTGTTTGGGAATGGCAGGACAGAAGGAGGGGAGAGAAAGAAAGAGGGAAGAGAAGGGTGTGGGAGCTGCTTCCTGAAGCAGTGTTACAAAAAGCAGTTAAAAAACCCCTACTATTCACAAGTGGTTAAAATCATCACTTTTCAGAATTCCTTTTTTTTCCTCTTTTAAACAAAGGTTCAGCTCATTCAGCTCCATGTTTTTAGAGTTGATTGTCTTCAGGAGAAATACCCAAACCCCAGCCTCATCCGTGTTCCCATCCATTTCTACCCTGATAGAGAAGTTACCCACAGTTCACCACACACACAGTCACTGTGCTGGGTCCCCCGAGTGCCGCCGGCAGTTCAGCTCCATCCTCCATTCCCGCCTCAAACAAAGGAGGAGAACCCTGTCACTGGAGTCCGGGAGCCGGGCGCGGGCTGCCCTGTTGGGGTGTACACCCCTCCTGAGCTCTGTGTTGTGATGACAGTCTGGAAATAGGGTTCTGTCTCGCTGGCGGCGCACTCCTCGTATCTGTAGGACGCTGGGTGCTTCACACCTTTCTGCTGCCGCTTCCATGAGTTGTAGTACGTGGGGTCACTCATATAATGGTTCACAAAGGAGTGCTTTGGCAACTCGTCTTCATAATCTGAGTCAGTGGCCTGGAGCATCAGGAAAAAAAACCCCATAAATCAGCCATTAGCATCTAGGATTTAGCCTGTTCTGCTTTAGAAGAAATTAGAGACAAGTTTAATATCACCAGCTGACAAAAACTGTGATTTTAGGGTAGGATGGTTTGTAGTGCAAGTATAATACGTGCTGGCCTGTAGAAAAGCACTGTGCTCTGGTTTAGCCAGGCTTTGCTGCTAGAGGCAGAGCCCCCTGACGAACACTGGTGATAAGAGATGCAGAGAAATCCCTCCTAATTCACTGCAGAACACTGCAGTGAGCGCTATGTTGACATAAGATGCCAGGAAGTGTAGAGACACCATAGAGAAACCAACAGATTTCAATCACATGATCAACAAGACTGCAATTACAACTGAGAGTCTCTCTCTTGATGCAAGGATATCCCTGCAAACATGCTGAAGTTAGCCAGACATGCTGCTGTCTGTGGTGGTCAAACATGGCCACCTGCATAGAGCTCTGGATTGGGCTTGCAAGCCCTGTTAAGTATTGAAAATTACTTCCGTCACTGAAAGGGAATTAGGCAGAATCACAGGGGTTTTCTCAGGCAAACATCTATCTGTATGTTCAGACTGATTACTGGTGGTACACAAGATGCACAACCAGCAGCAACAGAAGGAAGAGAATGCAAAATCTGGAGGACAACAGCCAAACAAGGAGAGGAGGCTTTCCTGGGATGGCTCGGGAACAGCCCTGCGTTCAGAGTGGATCTACCCCTGAAACACTGATGCATAAAGCTGTATAGCTTTAAAGCTTATATCAATATTGAGTGAGAGCTCTGGTGAAATGTAACCAGCTAAGCTTTGTGCATCTGTCCCTCCTCTGAAGGACTGCTGCTGTGATACGGCTGGAGGAATCACAGAGGGCTCGTACATCTCTGAGTGCAGAGATCACAGCAAAGCTACAGTATCTAAGTGCACATTTTCCTTCTGTTCCCACTACTGCTCCCACCACTAACAGCCCCATCCCATAAAGCACACAAGCATTTACCCAGTCATTTCTGTATCTCATGCCTTCTTCTCAGAATCTCTGGTTTGAGCATGCAAAGGCTTTCATTCCCCTCTCAATAATACACATAGCCAATTCTAAAGGCAATTAAATATCAAAGTAGTAGCTGCCTAAGACTTGCAAGAGAGAGGCAGGTAAGTGCAGCTCGTAACAGTTAGTTGCTGCAATCAGTTTCAAAAGGTTGGTATCGTTCTGATCTATGACACCTCACAGCAAACACACATCCTTCTTGATCCTGCCTGCCACACAACTAGTCTTTCCTTCTCTAAAGCTCCTTTTTAATGGTCTCTGAAGAACAATCCTCAAATGCCTTGCGAACCATCATTTGAAAAGGGCACCGCATCCATCATCCCACTTCTTTGCTTAGATAGCTGCTTCAATACTATTTTGTGCCCATTTTGCAGCACAGAGGGTGATGGACAGAGCTGAGAAATTTCTCCCAGTTTTCCAAAAGTCTGAGTAAAGCAGCTCTTTACAGCTTTGCAAAATTGCCCTTCCTCTATTACCCATGCTTTGGCTCTTTCAGAATGATGTACTGTCTGATTATTTGAAGACTACAAAGCCTCAGGTACCTTGACGTGTAATTACTATTACAACAAAACCCTACCAGTATTTAATACTTATTCCAGAAGGAACTCGACAAATCCATCTCCTAGAAGAATACTCCTTTGCACCAGCTGCCAGCCTTGGGAAGCCAGCACCCAACTCTCTCCACTGACCTTCCTGAATAGGTGGTTCTTGCAGCATGCCTGGAATATCCCCAGATTTGGACCACTTCACAGCCAGTGGGTGCAGGGAACAGCTCCAGAGTCTTGGCACCAGTGCAGGAAACATCCTGCCAGCACTGCCCAGTCTATTTTTGTCAGGGGCTCCAACAACAGTGCCTCTGCTGACTACAGCTCTGGCAGCATGGCAGGGCATGGCAGCAGGCAGCAATAGCTCAGGCAGGCTGGTCCTCAGCTGCAGACACAATCAACTTTACCTGCAGACCAAAGATCCCCATACCCCGGTTTCCTCCATTCTTATCAAGAAACAAGCTGTTACACTTTGCACCAGCCTACACCTCCAAATGTTCTGCTGCAGCTCCATCATCCAGTATTAAGGTTAAAAGTGCCTGGGAAGATGAGGGATCACGTGGGCATCCAGAAGAAAAGTCTCTGCATCCTGAGCAAGTTATGGATCACCCCTTCCCCAGTCCACCATTACTATTACTGGCTCGGACACTGCCCAGAGAGAGACAAGCCCCTGCTGTAAAGATGGATCACAGCTGAATTGAGGTGTCACAAGCATAATGAAAAGAGAAAGAACCCTACCACAAACTTCTAGTGGCTCCTTACTGGTCTTCCTGATGTCCTCACAGACATATAGAAACAAGACAACTAAAAGCTCTAAGAAATGCTGAGAAGCAGCTGCATCCAGAAGACTGACACAGGACTTGCTAGGAATAATAACGTTGATGCAGGCCCTTGATTTCTGTCCATCACTAGCAGAAACACACTGACCACAAAACTAATATAATTTCTGTTCCTAAGCCAAGTTCTTTAATGATTGCCAGAAGTCAACATAATAAAGAGGAGAAATACTGGGAACACTTTTAGATGGGCTGCTGCCATTTGAAACTTGGACTTGCTATGAACAGAAAGAGGGAATTTAAAACAATACCCCCTGATAATCTGCCCATGGTATCAAGTGAAAGAGAACACTGATCTGTGTAAATAAGGCCAGTGCCTTTCAGAAGCAACTTTCATGAAACATATATAGCCGTACTTCACCATCATTAACACCGATGCTGGAAAGAATAACGTACTTGTTAGCGTCAATACAGCGTGTTTTCTTTGTGTTTCCTGCAGGACAGGCAGGAACAGACTATTCCAATGTTTCTAAAGTACCTTCGAAGGTATGCTCTGAACCACCCTTACCAGCAAGGAAATCTCCAAATTTCCATTGCATCCCTCTCTGCCCTGATGACTATCAAGGAGTAGCAAGATAAACCTGTTTTGCATGACAATACAGACAGCTTATACTAGAGGATTACTTTTTAGAGGTTTTTAAACTACTGAGTAAATAGAAATGCTGCAGGGTTTTTTGCTTTGTTTTCAGTTTTCTCCCTTCCCTGACTGTGTCTTTGTTACCTTGGAAACCTCCATAGGCTGGAGCGGGATTGGGTGTGCGGTGACATTACCAACTGTCAACCAAAGGTGCATGGATGCCTATGAAACAGCAAATACAGAAAATGAGAGCCTATTTAAGTGTTTTATTGATAGCACAAAGTGCCCAAGTGCTGTTCAGATGCAAGTCAGCAACCAGAGTTGGCCAGCTTAGGGAATGGGAAATGTGCAAATAGTTCCAATTACCTGCAATTTTTTTTAAAGTGACTGCATAAGGAACAACCTTATGAGATTATTTCTAAAACTGTAGAAGGCAGCAGTTTCTTCTGGTTGACATGAAATGAATCTGCTGTAAAAGAAACAAGGTAGCCTAGTATACAAGAAGATTTCTCTGGACACAGGAACCCTTGCTTATTTAATGTGTCGCCTGCAGTTGGTTTCCACATGGTGCCCAACTTGTCCAAATCATGAAAACTTTGTTGGAAACAAGTTAAATCCTATTCCCTATCAAGTGTAGATTGGAAATTTATAATATCTTCCTACTGAGCTGAGAAAGCAAAAGTCAGACTGCAGATTGCAGCTGGAAAGAGCAGAGCATCACCAGCATTTAGCACTGACTGATAACATGTGCTATCTGGGAGAATACTATCTCCTGAAACCAGGTTTTGGGAGACCACAAGGACACGTGAAAACACACACCCTTCCCTCCTGTAAAACTGCTCTTCAATGGCTGGATAACACTGCAGCTATAGCATCACGTTTCTTTACATGGTGAACACCAGATTTCTTCAGATTAGCTGTCCAGAACCTCATCCACTTGACTCATTATCTAAAAGCCTATTATTATTAACCATTTAGAAATTACACTCTTAGCACTCTCTTGCTCCATACCTGCCAATTAAACTACTTTAACCTCATTAACAGCACCAGTGCTTGGCTTTCATGACATGGAGAAAGTTAACCTCTTGATTTATGGATATTGAGTACTGCTTGGTCTTCTTGATTTTCTTTGTTTCTCTCTTGCTCTCCTCATCAGAAGGGAGCTTGGAGGAATGCTCCCAGGCAGATGAATTGCAAGTGCAGTCAGTCAGCCTGAGAGTTTTTCACAGACTTCTTCATGTTCAGTAAACCCCATGAGACTTGAAGCCAGAGAGCTTCCTTCTTTTCCATATAAAATCTTGACACCTCAGGCGACAGGGGTAAGACTAAGCAGCAACAAGATGACATGGGGGTTGAAAGCACAAGCAGAGATTTTGGCTCTGCCTGGCCTTATGTGCATTGTGTTAAGTGGAACTTGATATCCATGCAAAGATGTATTAGAGGGAAACAATGTAAGGACCCCTTTTTGTTGCAGATGACCAAACCTTTGTAGAGCTCTTATATAAAGACATCTTTAACTCTTCATATAATGGGAAACACTTCCGCCAAGAGAGAGAGAAATTCTGGAATTCTCAGAAAACAGAACTTGTCTGTTAAGATCTCCTTTGAGAACAGAAACACACACACACAAAATTAGAAAACACAAACAGGAAGAGCTAATAGGTACAGGAGTACTTGGAAAGAGTGGTCAAACATCT